GTTGTACTTCAGGTAGATTGATTAGTACAGGGATGGGGGGGTCTGGTCTGTTGAGAATAAATTTCTTCCAATAAGGGGCTGTTCTTGTTTGCTATTAGATCGTCAAAAAATTAATGTCACGTTTTGGAACACTTTTATCCCCCCCCCCCCCAATGTATATCATGTATACGTTTGTTAAACGAACCGCCTAAACGTCACGTTAGTGTAGCCTACATAATGTGTAAAGTTTAGTATACTCTAATCCCTTATAGTGATGGCACACGACGAGACACACATCTGGGTGCCTCACGAACTCTCCGATGATCATCGTTTCTAACGTGTGAACGTTGCTTCATCTCTTCTGGAGCGTAATGCGCGTGAACCATTTTTGGATAGAATTGTCGCCGGTGATGAAAAATGGATTCTCTATGCGAATATTAAACGCCGAAAACAATGGATCAGTCAAAAACCACTTCGGACCCCAAAACCTGGACTCCATCCGCAGAAATTGATGCTTTGCATTTGGTGGGACATCAAAGTAGTAATTCATTTCAAACTCCTCAATCCACAGCGAACTGTCAATGCAGAGATCTATAGTCAGCAACTGGAACGTTTAAATCAAGCCCTTCATTCGTCAATTGGAAAGTAGGTTCTTCTCCACCACAATGCATGTCCACATGTGGCACGTTTGACGCAACACCAGATTATGGAGTTGGGAAGTTCTCCCCCACCCACCATATTCTCCAGATATGGCACCATCAGATTACCATCTGTTTCGTTCGCTGCAACACCATCTTAATGGGAAAACGTATGCAAATGTGGAAGGTGTTAAAGACGACATTACATGTTTTTTTGCTTCAAACCAAGTGATTTCTTTAATCAGGACATTAACAACCTGATGGTAAAACGGAAAAGCATCATCGATAAAATGGAAACTATTTCATTTAATAAACGTTTTGTTTTGATATACAAGTTCGGTTTTTTTCATCTAAAAAAAAAAGCGACATTAATTTCTTAACGACCTAATACTTTTAAGCGGGTTTCATTTGTTCCAAAGTAGCTTTCTAATAAAAAAAATTGGTCTACAATATTAATTATAGTATCGAACTATTGTTTCAGAGGATTGTTTCACGAAGAGTTTACTCGTTAAACACACGACATTCATTAAATAGCATAATTACCACTGGAATCAGTAGTCTTTTTACTTCTCTAACCGCACGATCCATCTTTAAATTGGCCCGGTTTTGGCTATCGTCGACTTGGATAAGAACATGAAGTTCTTCATTCAGATGTTCATAGTTAGGCTTTCCCTTGTACTGTTCTTCCTGAATAGTGAATTATTTAATATAACTATCTTTAGTTTCTTCAGTGAAACACAACATATTTCATTTCAGTAAAAAGAAAAAAAAACCCTTTTAAAATTCTCTAAATAGGTTTTACATGACAGCTAGTAATAAATATTTATACACAAGTGATTACTCTTAAATATGAATATAGTATATACCCCTTAATTCTTGCTAAAACATTAGCATTATTTGTACTTTCAGAGGTAAAATTTTATTTTAAGTTTCAAAGTTTGAACAAGTTCCAATAAATACAATTAGTTTTTCATACATATTGTTAATGATAATACTTTGAATGTAGTCAACATTCCTTTTATATTTATATTATGTAAAGTTTTTATATATTTTTTATTTTGTGTCCACGTTGACTGTACAAGCTTTGAGAAAACAGCTTTGTGTTGTCTTTACTGTATTATACATATGTATTTTGAACAATCAGCTCTTTTCTCAGTGGAAATAATTACATGGCATTTTTCCGGTCATTTGGTTCCAGTACACTGATGATATATTTGACATTTACAATCACGGTCTTTTAGATTTGAATAATTTGCACTTAGATTCGGATTATAGATTTATTAAGTTTACAATATAAAGTTCTTTGAACGATACCAAAAATTTTTAATTTTTACATGTATCTATAACAAATGAATAAATCGTATTTACAAGAAACTTAACGTTCAACCCACAACTTACACTTTCCCCACATCGTAAGCGAGACAATCACTGGCCTCCTATACAGAACGTCTGCAACCATGACATTACCAGCATAGGCGTACGGGGAATTATTCGGTGTGTGTGTGTGTGTGTGTGTGTGTGTGTGTGTGTGTGTGTGTGTGTGTGTGTGTGTGTGTGCTATGTGTATGACATAGACTAATTAGTTCGACCGTAAGTAGGTAGGTTAGTAAGTAAAGTTAAAAACGTTAACGGGAAAACGTAGGAAG